GAGAGAGAGAGAGAGAGAGAGAGAGAGCGAGAGAGAGAGAGAGAGAGAGAGAGAGAGAGAGGGCCTGAGTGTGTGTGTGTGTGCGTGTGCGTGCGTGCGTGTGCGTGTGTGTGTGTGTAGTTCGTCAGTGTTGGCGGTCCAAACAACGGCCAAAACTTAATGCAAAGGAGACCCGCGGATGGCGCAGGCACGGCCGGGTTGCAGTGAAATAGTACGCAGCACCTCATGCATCCCCCCGACCCCCTCTGTCGCCCCCCGACACCCTTGCATTCCAGGTTCATGCGTACACGAGCTGGATTCCTCTGACCTGCTGGATGATTGTGCGCAACATGACACCCGCGGTGAGCACCCTGCAGGGGATGCGTCGCGTGGGGTGCTGCCTAAACAGACGGCGGCGAATAGGATAGCTGCTCCCCTTTTGTTTGGGCCTGTGCCAAGGTAACCACCTGCAATGGCCCACCATGCAGCCTGCTCACCAGGCCCTGCTGCTGTCCCTCTCTCTCCCACAACCCCCAGCTGCGGACGTGGTCCATGCGGCTGTACGGCTGGCTGGGCTGCATCACACTCGAGACCTACCTCAGCCAATTCCACATTTGGCTGCGCAGCAGCGTGCCCAACGGACAGGCGCGCTGGGGTACAGTGGGGTGGGGGGACTGGCGACCTGTATGTGGGGCTTTGCTGCGCCGCTCAATTTGTCACAACTGACACAACAGGAAACTGGGACAGGACACGCACCTGTTTTTGGCCGTGACTGTGCTGAACCAAAGGCTTTGCGGTTGTGCCTGGATCGAGCAGCTGAGCCTGTCTCTTACCTTTTTCCTGCCCTCCATCCCATTATCCCAACGCAGCCCAAATTCCTCCTGACCATCATTCCGGGATACCCCCTCCTGAACTTTGCGGCCTGCACTGCGAGTGAGTGGGCGCATGCTGAAACGGCAGTCCTGTCTATGAACCACGGCGCGGCCTCAATCACTTGCCGCCCCATCACCCGTGTACCACCGCGTGTCGGCTCTTGCCTAGTCGTCGCTCCCCGCTGCGCGATGCGCCCCTCAACGCCCACCTCACTCCCCCGCACGCCGCGCCGTGTGCCCTTGCGCCCGCCACCCCGCAGTGTATGTGTTTGTGAGCCACCGACTGTTCCTGCTGACGCTCGTCCTCAAGGACGCGGCCGTGCCGCACGACAACAACCGCGTACTGGCCCGCAACCTCGTGCTCATGGGGCTCATGCTGGTGGTGTGCACCACCATGGGCTTTGTGCTGCACAGCACGGGGCTCTTGTGGCTCGCGTCGCGGTGACGCACCCCTCCCTGCCGGGCCGTCGTAGCTCGGCCGCAACGATCTGCATCACTAGTATTGTCACGTATCGTAGGTTGAGCTCTGCAGGCGCGCAGCCGCCTTCGCTGCTGCCGCAGTGCTGCGGTGGAATCAGCAGCGAAGGCAGTATTGGCTTGACTGCACGTCGTTATTCGTTTATTTTGTCGCGGTATCAGCCCGGGCAGGCGGCGCTGCAGGAGCTATTCACTCTCTGGTACACTGATGAAGACTCATTGCATAGCTTCCATGTCTCACAAATCTGATGCACACAATTGTAACAGAAAGTGGAATCAACATTTTTAGCAAGTTGGGTTTTCATGAACAACCACAGCATGTATGCGTGCACTGGCCCCGCCTCCACCCCCAGCCAAACGTGTGTTTGGTGTGCAGAATGCAATCCCTTCAAACTGTACGGTGTGCAGAATGCAATCCCTTTAAACTGCACGGTGTGCAGAATGCAATCCCATCAAACTGGCCCTCAATGGACACATCTATTACTTGATACCAGAGTAATCAAGCGCCCCTCGAGCTAGAAGTTGCCATGCGTGGGAAGGGCTGCCACGGCACGAGCGCAGGAGACCCTGCGCCCATGCGCCGCTGATTCGTGTGTTGCCTGCTTGGTGTCAATCCAAAACATAGATGTGTTGCAAGCAGGTTTCCGGGCGGTTTGCATGCCACCACCAGTAGCTGACTAACCTGATGTTGGTCCATGCAGCTACATTGCAGCTTCGGTCGCCCCAGATCACTCAGCAGCCTACTTCGCCTATTCTCCAGCCTATTGGTTAACAATTCCCAGCCGTGCTTATCATCATCGCGAATGTGTTTTGGTGGAGAGTAGAGTTTTTGGACCGCGTACAACCACGCAGCGGCTCACCTCCTCAAACACAGAACGCCCATTTAGCCGGCGATACATCTTCACGTAGCATATAGTCATGGCGGACGATCCTCCCAAGCCTGCCGCCGGCGGGCTTGGGTTCTCGCTCGCCGCCAAGCCCAAGCGTGGCAAGGTGGCGGTGCAGGTCCATGAGCGCGCCGAGGAGCGCCAGCTGATCACAGGCATAGAGGGCTCGCGCATCAGGACCGCGGCGCCAGAAGGCCCCGCCGAAGGGCCGCGTGTCATCCCGGGTATGGGCAACACGTACCGCGCCGGCGTCGGCCGCAGTGGCGGGGCAGCAGCTGTCGCTGGCAACGGCGCCGCCGGCTTTGTGCCGTCGTTCGTGCCGCAGTCCTCCAGCGAGGACCCACTGAAGTCCAGCAACCAGGACAGGTTTGTGGCGGCGCCGCAAGACGACGCGTCCAAGGCGGTGGTGAGGCAGTATGGCCTCGTCAAGATGGGGGCCCAGGACCCGCAGCAGCAGCAGCAGCAGCAGCAGCAGCAGCAGCAGCAGCAGCAGCAGCAGCAGCACGATGGTGGCGAAGGCAATGGCAGCATGGCCGGGGACGGTGGCATTGCGGTGGCGGCGCAGGGCGCAAGCAATGCGGTGGACGCCGCCAACGGCGCAGCGGCGGCGCGCCAGTCCTATGCGATCCAGGGGCGTGGCGGGCGCAGTGACAAGGACAAGCTTGTTGAGGAGCTGCAGGAGCTGCCGGAGGAGATGGCGCCAGAGGTGAGAGGCACGGGGAACTGTTTGGGGGGAGCAGAGGTGCTGGTAGCTGGGCGCGGTTTGGGTGCCTGCGTTTGGCTGTTGGTGCAGGAAGTAACGGCGTGCAACAGCGCTGCCCACGCATAGCATGGCGCAGGCTATCCAGTGGGGCGATTGCTCTAGTCCCGACATCACCAAATCGCAAAGTGCACATCCATGGCCAGCCACTTGCACACACGCATGCACGTACAAGCTCACACGGACACACACATACAGGAATTGCACGCGCTTGTACACGCACACACTTCAACTCACCACGTGTGCGCGAACCCCACCGCAGGAGTACGAGGCCACGCCTGTGGAGGACTTTGCCAAGGCCCTGCTGCGCGGCATGGGCTGGAACGACGGAGAGGGCGTGGGGCGCAGCAGGCAGAACGTGGAGGTCAAGCAGATCGTGCCGCGGCCGGAGCGGCTGGGGCTGGGGGCGGACCCGGCGGCGCTGCCGCAGCACCTGCAGCGGCCCCGGGTCGTCAAGATGGGTGAGCGTGGGCACAGGAGGGGGGCAACAAACGGCAGGGGGAGAGGGCGCGGCGCTCCAGGGGCAGTAGATTATGGCCCGTCCCAAGGCATTGCAACTGGGCCTTGCGTGCAGTGGCGGCAGCTGCAGCACGCTGTCGGGGTGGCGCCAGTGACAGCGCCGCCAACGGCAATTGCGAGCAGCTGCACGAGAGGCAGGCGAGCGCTGTGGCCGCACGGCTCCCCTGCACCTGCCAACCCTTGACCTGCCCCGCAGCCTGCCAACAGACCCACCTCAACCACGCTCGCGCAACCCCCTCCCTCACGCCTGAACCTGTCCCGCTAGGCGACAAGCCGCGCCAGGACCTGGTGGCTGCGCCCGGCGCGGACGGCCGCGCGCGCCACCGCGTGGGTCTGGACGAGAAGCTGGTGCCGCGGGAGCAGACGCTGCCGGGGCCGCGGCCGGGCAAGGAGATGCGCGTCGTGGGCGGGCGGCACGCGGGGCTGGCGGCGGTGGTGCGGGAGGTGCTGCCCAAGCAGGAGGGGCGCTCGGGTGAGGGGCACACTTTTTGTGTGTGTGTGTGTGTGTGTACGTGTGTGTGTGTGTTTGGGAGGGAGGGTCCGCATGGGAGGGAGGCGGAGGACGGTTGGGCCGCACTGCTGTGCCGGCGCAGCACCGGGGATTGTGGGGAGCAGGGGGCCCAGCGGTCGGCCGTCGCGAGGCGACAGGGGGAGGAGTGTTAGCCTGGTAGCACCAACGCGTGCCCTTTTGTCGAGCATCTCTCCCGCCCCGCCCGCGTTGAGCATCTCTCCTCCTCGCTCTGATCAGAATCGTCCTCATGCATCTCATTGCAACCATCTCTGAACCACCACGCAACCCTTTTCCTCTTGTCAGACCGCGCTTTGGTGCGGCTGCACCCCAGCAACGAGGAGGTGGAGGTGCGCTGCTCAGAGCTCGGGGAGTTGGGCGACCACGGCAGCAGCGGCGGCCAGCAGCAGCAAACGGGGCGGGAGCAGGAGCGGCACCGGCAGGGGCCAAACGACGGGGGCCGCGGCGAGCGGCTCAGCAGCCGGGTGGCCGGAGAGAGGGACGGCGGTGGTGAGGAGCGGCAGAGGGAGCGGCAGCGGGACAGAGAACGCGGCGGCAGTGCTGGCGGCGTTGGTGGCAAGCGGGACCGACGCAGCAGGAGCAGGAGCGGCGGCCGTGACGGCGACGGCGGCAGCGGCGCCAAGCGGCGGCGCAGCGGCAGCGGCGATGACGAGCGGGGGCGGGAGGCTGGCGGCGGCCCTAAAAAGCATCACCACAGTCAAAAACATAAGCACAGCCACAAGCACAAGCACAAGCACCACCACCACCACCACCACAGCAGTAGCAGTAGCAGCGATAGTGACAGCGACTCCCAACCGCCGCCGCCGCCCCGTGCGACGTGGCTGTTCCCCAACATCCGCGTGCGCGTGCTAGACAAGCGCGTGCAGGGCGGGAAGCTGTACCTGAAGAAGGGGTGCGTGGTGGACGTGCATCCTGGGGCGCTGGCAGACGTGTGCATCGACGAGACGGGCGGCGTGGTGCAGCTGCCGGAGCAGCAGCTGGAGACGGTCGTGCCCAAGCAGCCGGGGGCGCCCATCCAGGTGGTCGCCGGGGAGTGGCGCGGCCGCCGGGGCCGCCTGCTACAGGCCGCGCGCGGGGGCGGCGGGGGCGGGGGCGGCGCGGCGGCGGTGCAGCTGGCGGGGGACATGGCGGTGGTGCGGCTGGCGCTGGATGATGTGGCGGAGTACACGGGGGCCCTGCATGAGATGGAGGACGATTGAGGATGCGAAATGCAGACGGGCAGGCCGACAGGTTGTGACATGTCATGTTGCACTCCGTTTTTGTAACGCATGCTGCACACTCTGCTTTAGTAACGTATGTTCTGCGCTGCCGGGCTAAGACAGTTTGGTGTTGATGCATGGGGAAGCACTGGATGATCACCTCTGCACAGCATGAGCTTGGGAAGGCGCGCATACGCTGTGTAGTGGCCGGAGGTTGCACCCGGCCGGGAGTTGTGGTGCTGGTTGTGTATGCACTGCAAGTTTCAATAGTGCTTGGTGAATGAGGAGGCTCTGCAAGAGCTGTCGAAGCGTGCGCTCAGTGACCGTGGTGGTATGGGGGCCGGCTTGGCCGGCTGTCAGTTACGAGTGCGTGTGCCGCTTTCACGATTGAAGAGGAGGCAGGCATGTTGCACGTCTCATGTGCTGACGCCCATTCATCCCGTAGTTTGTTTGCCTGTCCCTTTCCGTACCGGAAATCGTCAGGTCTTGTTGGTTCCGGACCGATCTCATTTGATCTCGATTCGCCCTGTCATGGCATCGCCGTCAAAAGGTTTGTTGGCAAGCTTGCTGCTGCTTGCCGGTTTGTCATCTGGGCAGAGGGTGGATGGCCCCAGGCACAGAATCTTGGTGAGCGCTGCGACACATCACAGGTCAGCGTGTCGTAATGCGACACGGCGCCTCCATCATGGATGCCAGCAAGACCCGAATTCAGTCACCCTCCCGTTGAATTCATCAAGCCATCCTCAACCCACCCGCGTAGCCACGGCAGCGCGCATTACCCCGACCGCCCCTGTGCCCTAGCCCTTGACCCCGGCGACGCCGCCCCGGACCAGGTCGCCCTGCCGCTGGGCGGCCTCAGCCCCTCCATGGATGTACTGGCGGTGGCGGCCGCTCTGGCGAGTCGCGGCCACAATGTGTCGGTCGTTGTGCCGCAGGTGAGGGTGCGCGCTTTTCGGCGCGCCAGCTTTTCGCATGGCCCACACCCTGGGCGTGCAGCGGCAGCAGGTCCGCTGCACAGGCTGGTGCTGCAATGCGCAGACAGCTCACAATAAGGCAACCGCCAACCTCTACCCAAAACACACCAGGATGACATCCCATTCAGCAGGAGCGCCGCGTCGCGTCACGGCGGCGGCGACGGCGCTGACCTCCTGGAGTGGATCGCCTACGACATGCCCTTCACCGTCAACTCGGGTGGGGATTAATCCCTGGTCAGACGCTGACACAACTGGTGTGTTCTGTCACGTTGCACGCACCCTGCGTCGCTGTCGTGCTGCTGGGCCGTACTCGTGCTGGCCAGTGGATCGTGCACGGCCGACCCGCCCTCAGGAGCAGCGGCCACCGTCGCCACCATGCACGATTGTGTGGACGCCCGCAGAGGTCATGCGCGACATGGCTGCCCGGGTTAAGGGAGTCAGGAACCCCCTCAGGGTGCTGGCCAACCTAATGGAGGTCATGGGGCGGCCCTGCTCCCTCATGTTCTCCAATGCAACGCTCATGGCGGTGCGTGGGTACGAGGCATTTGACCAAAAGATTCAATTTGAGCCAGGGGGCCAAGGGCGGGGAGGGGACAACACCACGAGCCAGGCTTCAGCGAGCATCGGGCTTGCTGAACGAACCTCTCCGTGCCGACCCTGTCAAGGGAGGCCCCTGCGAGCGCGCCGCTGCCGCGCAGTCCCTGTCGCGTCGTCCTGCGACCCCGACATGCACGGCCTCCCTGTGTATCGCGGGTGCGCGTCCCGCGCTCTCTCGACGCGGTGCCCCGCAGGCCCTGGAGTCGGGGCGGTACGAGGCTGTCTTGACGTTCAACATGCCTGGTGACTGGGCAGACTCGTGCGGCTGTGTTCTGGCCCACAGCCTGGGGGTGCCCCTCATGACTGTCCACGGCATCCCCTTCATCACAGCACCCCTGAGCGTGCCACAGGTGCGTGACGGGCGCAGGCACAGCAGCGACTGACACACAACCCGGCTTGTTTGCGCTGCATGGAGATAAGAGGTACTCAGGGTACGAGACACTAGCGCTGCCTTTGGACTGCTGGACTGAGGACCAATGACCGCAGGTTGCCGTGCACCCTCTCAAGCCTAGTCGTGCTCACTCCCTCGATGCAGCTAGCTGCACCACCCCCCTCTTCCCCGCACAACGCTGCCCCGTCAACTGCTTTTCAGTTTGGTTCTGGCTTGGACGACCAGGCCCTCGCCACCTGGCGCGGCCGCACCCGCAACCTCCTCTCCTTCATGATGACACGCACCATGGTGGGCTGCCCCCCCTGCCGTGCCATCACCTGGCTGAGCAAAGAAAGCGTGCTGCCACGGCCGCGCCTGCCGCCCAAAATGCGAGCAAATCTCTGCTGCCACCAGGGCCTGCTTGCGCTTCTGACTTGCCCTGCGCAGCCAGCGGCACCAACGAGTCGTGTTGAGTACTGAACCAGCGCCTGGCGCCGACGTGCCCCGGGCGCCGCGCCTCTCCTGCTACCCGCGCACGCCCCGGCAGTCTGCTGTCACAGGGATCGTGTCGCGCAGAAGCATGGCGGGCATCCGGCGACAGCGCCGCCTGCCCCGCGGCCCAGCCAGCCAGGGCCGCGCCTGCGCCCCGATGCTGCAGCTTGACGCCAACAGCTTCCACCTGGACCCGCCGCGGCCCCTGGGGCCACCGCACGTGCGCCGTGCAGTCGTGGTGCTGCTCCACATGCACGCAGCCTTGCTTGCATGGGAACAGCATTTCTGCATTGACACTGAAGCCTGCAGGAGCAAGCAAGTATCTGCTGCAAAAGCCTGCAGGGGCACTCGCCAGACGCTGATGCGCGCAAAAACTGCACCGACGCGCACTTTGCTGCTCTCCCACACGGCACGCCGCACTCACCCCTGTCGCAGGCGCTCATCGGCCCCATCGCGCCCCGCTTTGCCCGTCCTAGCTTGGAGCCGCCAGAGGTGGCCGCCTTTGTGGATTCGGCTCCCGCCGGCGTGGCGGTCGTGTCATTTGGCAGCGCCCCCATATTCGGCACCTTCCTGACCCGCAAAGACTTCCTCGAGCTGTCCCTGGCGTTCGCCGATCTGGCCCCAACGCGGGTGGTGTGGCTGCTCAAGCCGCGCAACATGCCGGATGACGTCAGCATCGGAGAGCTGCCGCTCGGGGACAACACCATCACGGCGCCTTGGGTGGTGCGCACCGCCAGTGGCAGGGTGCCCGCCCATCCCCCTGCAGCATCATCTTCAGCATTCTTTCTCAAGCTGTGGTCCGCGGCCCCCACTCTTGGGCAGGCTGTCACAGTCGCGCTCCTGAATCTTTACCCCCGGCCCCCGAC